CTATTGCAGCGGGCTGGTCCCCAGTGGTCATCTTGTGTGTTCCTAGAAAGGCCGGTCTATGCCACGGGAGCCCCTCTACTCACCAGAACCCAGTAGTTGTGTGTGCACAGTCTCATGGAAAATGATGACGGCAGGGCCCAGAGTGGATAAGGGGACATCCAGACCACAGCGGGCAGTGGTAGCTTTGAGCTCCTTGGTGAAGTGCTTCAGATAAGCTTCTGAGGCGTCCCCAAGGAACTTGAAGAGGTCATTATGCAGCCGGTCTGCATGAGTTCGATAGATGACCAGATCTGAGATGGCCAAGACCTTAAGTAGCAGCCGTGTTCTCTGGCTGAGATTCACCGTGGCCCCCAAGAGCCCTTCGGTGTCTATCACTGCTACTTTGTGGACCGGGTCATAGGCTGCCCACACTCCCACGGTGCAGGACTCCTGGGCAGGGGAGGTTTTGAAGACTTCGCGGCCATAAAAGAAAGTGTGGTTGAGGGTATGAGACTTTCCATCACCAGTATTTCCAAAAATAGAAACCACCTTCAGATTCTGATCAGGCTTGCAGTCCAATTTCCTAATAAAGTCCTCTTCATTCGTTACCTTACCAAAAAAAAAAAAAGACAATGAAATCAGATATAGAAACTTCAAAATAGATAGAAGCACCTAGGGAAGCAATGTTTCCCAGGATCCTGGTCCTTGACTGGTTCCTCAAGGTGGCAAGGAAAGGAAGCCTTATGTAACAAACCCACCACACTGTCTGCCTCTAACAAACTGTAAGAGGAGCGGCTGGGGCCTCGGTCGGTCGGTATAAGAACTTAGCAGTCATGAAAGAGCTAAAACTACAGAAACCTTAGAGGAAAACACACAGTGGTTAATCTTCTTGAAGACAATCTGATGGCTAAAAGGGTTGAAGCGCTCAGGAGCTTACAGAAGGGTTGGCAGTGTGAAGCTGCGTGGCAGGAGCTGGAGAGCTACACCAGCCTCTCAATGGTAGCCTGGTGAACCCTCTGTCACCTGGGGTGGCGAAGAGTCTGTACCAACTTGACAGCACCAACCAACAGTAACTCTTCATGCCCTTGGACTGGACAACAATGGTTTCTTAGATTTGACACCAATGCAAAAGCTATTTAAAATATGAATAAATTGAACATTGTTAAAATTTCAAACTTCTGTGCATGGGTTTGTGAGGCACCAAAGGACACTATCAAGAAGGGGGGGTGGGGGATGGGACAACTCACAGAATAGGGGGAGATTTTTGTAAATCACTTTTCCAACAAGGGGCTAGTATCCAGAATATGTACAACTCAACAATGAGGGCAAACAACCCAATCTTAAAATGGACAGAAGATGTAAGCAATCTTTCTCCAGAGAAGATATAAAATAGCCAATGAGTGCATGAAAAGATGCTCAATATCATTAGTCACTAGGGAAATGGCAATCAAAACCACCATGAGATGCCACATCGCACCCATTATGATGGCTATAATCAAGAGACAGGAAAATGACAAGGGCAATTCCAACTGTCACACACCACGGGGTAAGCCTGGAAAATGGGGCTGCCTCTCTGGAAAACCATGTGGCAGGTCTCCAAAAAGTTAAACACAGTGACCACAGACCCGGTCATTTTACTTCTCAGTATGTTCTGTACATGAGAACTGAAAACGCATGTCCATACAAAAATATGTACTCAGCGACTTACAGCAGCATTATCTCGTAAAAGCCCACCACATGAGGGGGGAAATGTCTATTGTCTGATAAACAGAATGTGGTATCTGCCGTACAATGGACTACCATTCACCATGAAAAAAGAATGCAGTGCTGATACATGCCACTACATGGCTTCAGGGCCTCACACCCAGCAGCATTCGGTAACCTTGGTGAGCAGCTAACTGATCCCACAGGGTGATTGTGGGCAGAACAAGAATTTACATATACAGCTCATTTTGGGCCTGAGTCACTCAGCCAGCCTGGTCCCAAGCTGCTATGTTGGCAAGCAGGAAAACAAAACAAACGCTGCCTAACCCTCTCTCTACCAGCCAGGAGCCAAGTCAGGTCCTAGCAGCCCGCGGAGAGACC